GCAGTTTCTTTCCCTTTCACAATATCTAATGTACTTTTTTTTTTCATTAGTAGGTTTTAAACTCTGGACCTTGCTCTTGCCGGGCAAGTGCTTATTCTACTGAGCTATCACCCTGGCCCTCTATTGTAGATTTTGGATCTTATTTACTCTTTCAGGTTCTTACGCTTACAGTGTTTACACGTGCAAGTCTGATTTATTTCACCTATGAGTCTGGTCTTTAGTTATATACATTTTTCTATAAAAGACTCAAATTTATCATTTTTTATAAAGACACCACATCTGTTTTGTTCATTCCTTGGTTGAAAGACATTTGGATTCTTTCCAAGATTTAGCTATTACAAATTGTGCTGCTGTGAACATTGCTCTATATATATCACTGTGGTATGAAGTTTTCAATTCTTTTGGGGAGATACTCAGTAAAGGAATAGCTGTGTTCACCAGGACCACTAATCCTGGGTTTTTAAGCAGTCTCCATACTGATTTACATAGTAGTTGTACCAACCTACACTCCCACCAACAGTGGAGAAGAGTTCCTTTTTCCCCACAGCCTCTCCTGCAATTGTTATTGGTTGATTTCAGGATAAGAGCAATTCCTTCTGCGGTGAGATGGAAACTCAGTTTTGTTTCAATTTACATTTCTTGAATAACTAATGTTTTTCAACATTTTTCATATATATAGTTGCCATTTGTATTTCTTCATTCAAGAGATGTGTATTGCTCTCAGATGCCAAGTTTTAGATTAGATCTTTGAATTTGGGGTCCTGATTTTTCTCAGCTCTTCATATGTACTAGATAGAAGTCCTTTTGTTTGAGGGACAGTGGGATAAGATATATTTCCCATTCTGTGGGTTTTCTTTTTGCTCTGTTGGTGATTTTTTTTTTCAAAATTTTATTGTAAACAGCAATGAGACAGTTTCAAATCAAATTGGAAGTACAGTTTCAACAAATAACAAACTGCATATATTCTTCCTAGTGGCTAATTGCTGTACAAGATGCAGACTTGAGATCCTATTTACAAACACCATTAGAACAAATCATTCTATTTATTAAGATAATGCAACTATATATCTATCCTAACCACTTTGAATACACAGATACAAAATGGACATTCATCTGTATACCCTATTTTTTCTAAGTTCCGTTATTGAATATTATAGGTGTGTAAACTCAGCAAAATATTCTAAAAGAGTCCAGTAGATCATAATAGCCTTGGGTCTTCTGTTTAACTGGCAATGTCAGAAATTATTGACCTGAGTTCCCCCACAGCTCAACATAACAACATGGCTTTACTTCCTATATTTCATCTTCATACTTTTCTACTGGATGGATAAGACCAAGGTAAAGCAGGACCTGTGCAATAAGAGTTGTAGCTTTTTGGTCTGAGAAGGTCAGTGAAATGCCCTCAGGATTTATCCTGAGATCCTGTACCTCAGATTGTAGAACCTTTGTCAGTGCAGCCATGTGGATGAGTCACAGCCATTGCTTGGCCAATGTGCTCTCTGTGAAAGCCTGAGAGAGTGTCTTCTCCCCATGTGACTCTCCTTAGGCACACTCTACGTCATCGATCACTTTCCTCTTGGCCCCATAATCTTCTTTTTTTTTTTTTTTTTTTGCGCCGAATGCCTTCAAGGCATGACTGGCTGTCTTGTGTTGTGGGGATCGAATCACAGCAACCTGAGCCTGACTGCTTTGTTGAAGCAGCCATTTAAAGAACTGAGCTAAGGGGCAGCCCCCCCATAATCTTCTTGATCAGAAAATTTGGGACACTACCGAGGTACATGACGTTGCAGTACAAGTTCTCATATGTCCTGAGTCTTAATTGACCTTAGAAGGCTAGGGCCAAAAAGTTGGCTTTCCTTGTAGCCCTCCTTTTTCTCTAATTTTGGTCTGCAAACTTAGGTGGTTAACCATCCAGAAGACAAGCTTATTGTTATTATCAAACGATTTAGGCTATCAAGCTTAACCTCACTATCTCACTGCATTTCAAACATCTTAGGCATAATAAGGAACAGGTATTTTTCATCAAGTATTGATATGTTGAACTTTAAGTCCCTGCATAATATGATAAAAAACATTTAAAAATTAGATTATATTTTAAAAATAGGATAAAGAATTATATACTTCTCATGTTTGCACATAAGTCCAAAAATCTCATCCTATACAACCCTGAAGCAGGACCCTCCCACAATATTCCTTTTCCTGTCTCTTGCTTTCATTCACTATCCCCTTCTTCTTGAACATCCACCTACCTGAGAGACATCTTAGTAGTAAGTGGCATGTCATGAGAAGCTGCCCGTGTTCAGACTACCAGAATGACGGGCGCTCCCAATATGAAACTACTGTTACAAATTACCATCTGCAGTGCAGTAGCTTAGTTCACAGATATCAGTATATATAGTTAGTCAGAGTGAGAATCTTTCCAATTAACTCCTATATTAAAAAATCTTCTGAATATTCTCAGGATCATTGCCTTGCTCACCTTTTACATACAATTGTATGGCTTGACATTGTCATGTTTCGTAGCTCTTCTCCTTTCCCTCTCTAGACTAGCTAGTCCTTGAGATTCTGCTTTTCTTTAACTTGTATTATATCTTTCTATTTGTATTTCTTCTTTGGAGTTCTTATACTAGGGAGACTATACGATATTTGCACATGTGTGTCTGGTTTATTTCACTTGGTGATTTCTTTTAAAGTACAAAAACTTTTTAAAAACAGAAGATGCCCATTGTTGATTCTTTGAAGTATTTCTCGAGCAATTTGTTTTTTATTCACAAACGCTGCCTATTTCTATATCTTCAAGATTTGTACCATCTTTCTCTTCCAGAAGATTTAGTGTTTCTCTTTTAATATTTAGATATTTTAAAATTTTGTGTATTTGTGTG